ATCCCTCCTATTTCTAATTTTCCTCATTTTGTTCAGGTCAGTAAATCTGCACAGCACTAAACAAATGTGGTTAAGAGCAGGTTATAGCTCTTTCTAGATGAGAAGGGGAAGATTTTATTTTTGAATATTCTCTGGGACATAAGCAATAGTTGAATATCAATTTCACAGAAGATTCCACTCATCAGATTTAATTTTTTCTCAATTTATTAAGAGATGGCTTCTTACTTTGTTTCACAATCATTAGTAGCTATTGGGAGTTTTAAGATAATTCTACTTCCTTTAAGATGAGTGTACACAGGTACAACTCAATCACTGGGAAGGAAGACTCTGATACTTGACAAATTTTCCATCTGGAAGATGTCCTTCCTCCCAGGGGATATGTATTTGTTCCTTACTCTTTCTTTGATTAAATTAGGTGTTCTAATGACTTTGTTAGTCACTTCATATGCCCCTCTTTGATTCTTGCTTTGGCTCGCTGCCCCGCTAACAGCAGTGCATACTCTAGGCCTTTTCTAGTGGTATAGGAGGCACCAGGGATGAGCAAGTGTACAACCTGCTGCTGTGTCATGAAGATTGATTGGCATCTGGCATATGCAGTCCTGAGAGTGTTCTTGGTGGTTTCTCTATTGCTTCACACTGTTTTTTGTGTATTCTATTTCTTCCGAAGAAGCACTTAAGGGAATGACACAGTAAATATTTTTTAAATTAAAATTGTACATTCTTCATCTTCAATGTCATTTGTAACACAACATAAAAATGTGTAATAAAGCAGCATCAGAGCATTTGTTCTCCTTTTTATGTTTTGATTGTTTTTACCCCCAATATTTTTTTGATATAGAAACAGAACTTTAAATCTTTAGTTTTAGCGATTAACTGAAATTCCTAGTCTTGTCCTTACTTTATCTGACAATTTTATTCTTACAGTATAAATTGAATATAAATTAACTAATATTGATTTTCAAAATATAAAAGATATAAAAATAATTCTTTTCTAACTTTTTGCAGACTTTAAAGAATAATAATCTCTTAACCATATTCTTTTGTATTTTGTTCAGTGATAACACTGCAATTGAAGAATGTTTAGCTACAGTTTTAATTCACGATGATATTGATCTGAGAAGATCAATAACAGGTTACGTTGATGTTGATTGCAGAAAATTATTTCCTTTTATTCTTATTTCATCTCATCCTAATAGCATAGAAAGCAGAGTGTTATGATAATCTCACACAAGCTCAAAAGTGCCGCCCTTGCACAAACACTACGCAATGGGCTGCATTAGGAGACCTAGACTGTAATCTCAACACACAAACAGCTGGGGCAGGAAGATGGAGCTCAGGTCTAGATTGGTCTACATGAAAGCCCCTAAATGACGGAGACACTACTCGGTGTCAACTCGTGTGTGTGTGTAAATTCACTCTCCTAGTGGTGTGTCATTCGAAATGTCATTCTTTTAATCCCTGTATTAATACAAAATAAAATGTAATCTCCGACTTTGTATTGACCTCATAGCATTCTTATAAAATCACAATCATTAATGATTTCCAAAATAATGCCAAATCAAACTCACAATATGACGTGGGTCACAGCAAGTACAATTTTATATACAAAGTTCACTTCTCAGTATATCTTAGGTTCTTGTCTACACATCTGTCTCTTTCTTTCTGTAGTTGGTCATTGACTCAGCATCTTTTTCTTTGAACTCTCAGTTTCTCATCAAGGTAACATCTGTACAGACTTTGCAAACACATCATCAAACCTAGATGTGGGGCCCTTGAAGGCTATCTTAAAGTTTATTAGAACTTAAAGCAAATCATTAATAAAACTTTATGTCATGGATAATAACTGCATCAGTTGCTTTAAAAATACAAATATCCCACATAAAATAGTATTTGAAAAAGTTGACTCTGATCTGTTGCTTTAGAGATTCACAGTAGAATTACTAATTGTCTTAATGGGTTGCTCTTTGCAGTTCTACCTTGCAGTTTCTTTGGAGGAGCAGAAAGAGGCTCTGTTATGGTCACTGTAAGCACATTACCATGGCTAAGCTGGGTAACCTGCACTCAACCACAAAAATAGCATTTTAAAACAACACAGCTTTTTTACATCACAATGTCCTTGTTTGGGAGTTCAAACGGTTTACTTAAGTTCTCTGCTGGCTGTTTAATGTAAACCTGTTATCATGCAGGTGTCACTAGAGACTGCAGTCTTATTTGATGCTTGCCCTCTAAAGGACATACTGCTGACAGTGGCATTTAGCAGTATTCCTTTGTGAGCTGTTGGCCTGAGGGAGGTGGCCTTCAGTTTTCTAGCTATATAGTCCCTTTCTGTCTCCAAACTGATAGGACACAGTCTTACCTAACTAGGTGAATATCAGGATGTGAGCAACTACATAGAGTCCCATTACTTTCCCCAAATCCAATTTGATCCAAGAAGTCCCAGTTTTTCTTAAAAGTGCCCCCCTCATGGTATGAATGCATACCAACAGAGTCATTTTGTAGATTTGATTCACATCATCTCTTAAATTGGTAACTAGATTAAAATATCTTATGAATATTGTATACTGACAGTGCATGTAAGGAATTTGAGAAAAAGTTGAAAATTGTTTTAAGCAAGCAGTTCCTAAAGCAAAATAAATTATGGCAGTTACAAAGTGAAGACAGAATCCTCTACTCTCTTTTTTAGATATTAACGATGGCAGACTGAAGGGCTCCTTACTTGCTTGCTATGTCACCATACATACCATTATTGACTAAAGAACAAATATATCAATTTTATCACTTTGTGTGTGTGTGTGTGTGTGTGTGCATTTTTGCAGGTAAAGTCAAACAAATGGCCAAAGAATGGTGCATGTATACCTTTTACACAGAATAATCAATCTGAAGAAGAATTAGAGGATAAATAGATGAGTGGATTGGGCTAGGCAAGCCTGGAGATGATCCTTAGAGATCGATTCTCGAGTTTGCACAAACCGGCAGAAGACAAGGGTTGAGTGGTTTTATTTAGACTCAATGAGTCCTAAGTAACACCCTCTTGATATGATGGCTATTTTCCAGCCTTGGTTTGTAAAGGACCATCTCCGGGAAGAAATAGACTGACCTGCTGGCTTTGGGGCTACAGACCAAATGGATCTTCAGGAAGCAAATGTTTGACTTGAGTGTGTTGTTTGAGCTAATCAATATCCCAGTTTGGTGTGTGTTGAGATGGCATATATCAAATGCTCCACAAATCACAGCATCAAGGAGGCAGAAGAGGAGGAAATGGAGTAAGTACCCTGAATCTCCTATTGTTGTGATAACAAATGACCACAGACTGTCTGTTGAAGCTGACATCTATTTCATGTCTCCCACTGTGCATCCTTCAGCATGAGTGGGATATAACCAGGTTGTTAATCTCCAGGTTTCATAATGAGGAAATTAAAAACAACAACACACAAAAAAAAATCCTGTAGGTCTGTGTTTCTTTCTAGATACTCTGTGAATTAATGCCATTCAAACTTTTGTGGTAGAAAAGGCAGAAATCATCTCATGTGGTTTAAGACCCATGTTTCCTTGCCCTAGGTGTTGTTTAAGCACAATCTCCATCCGATCAAATTCCACCCTTATTCTTTGGCTCATGTTCTATTCTTCTTCCCCTCCTTAGCTCCAGCAACACTTGAAGTGCTTCCCTGGCTTCAAACCTCCCTCATCTTCCATCTCCCTCTTTTGTGCTGGACTCACAGATACAGAAGTTTTTAGATTATAAAAGATCATTTTAATAGTTTTGAGCCGGTGAGCTACTCTCTTGTTTTCTAATTCTCCATCTTTAATTACATATGTAGAATACCTCTGACTGGGCAGCTTATTTAAAATTTGTGGGGTTCAGAGAAGGACATCTTTTGTGGGGTAATGTGTTTTCTTACTATCACAGCAAGTTACAGGGCATTAAGTCATCATGAACCTTCATCCTGTGGAAGATAAAGACATTTAGAATACTACCCTGTCTCAGGGATGTACACACTAATAATTCTAACAAGATAAGACTTTGTGCTGCAACCTCAATTTTATCTTAATGTGTGTAGTTCCTTTTAAATCTGTTGGCAATGTGTCTAACTTTGACAGCAGGATTATGTTAGGAAATTGAAATCTAAACTATTCATGAAACATGTAGATGTCTGCTTTACACCTCTGCAGCAGGTAGTACATGCTGGGGATAGATGAGAAGGAAGCCCCCAAACTTTCTCTGCAGCATAGCTCATTGGCCTGTCAGAAGCAAAACTGTTAATATTCCACAAAGAAACATCACATTTTTGCTTAATGAGGTAAGAGACATTAGCCCTTTTGTGTGGTTTCATTTTATCTGAATCCTGAAGAGCATTAGTGGTTCTCAAAAATTTGATAACATTTTCTGTGGGTTTTGGGAACTCTGCTTAGTAGTTCACGATGCTTCAAGAAGAGAATCACAGGGCAATGTCAATTGTAGCATGCATGTAGAATAGGGGTAAACACTCACTGGTACAGAACCAACTAGATGCTACCACTGATTCAGCTACCTTCGTCCAGTCATTCTGTCTGGAGTGAAGAATATCAACATCAAGCTGCTTGCTCAGCTTGGACCACTCAAGAGAGCATGAAAAAAAGAGAGGAAGAGACTCTCGCCCTCAACTTATAAATTGTCAAGTACAGAGACAAGATCATGCCCTAGGGTTTGTAATCTTCAAAAGCCATTAGCTATAGGTATGGAAATCCCACAATACTTCCCCTTTTTTTCTAAATCAGAATGTTTTAATTCTAACATAAAACTATATACAATAAGAAGAACTAGAAGAAAAGGTAATTGTCAAATTTCAAAAGCAGCTGCAGGAGCAGGTGGGACGAGAAATCTCCAGTTACAGTCAGTATGTGCTGATCCAGAGATTGCATTGACAAATAGCAATAATAATAGATTACATTGCTTGAAGATGTCCTCCAAAAATAAAAACATTGTGTTAAGCATTCCCATTAAACAGTCACTGGAGAGAGCGGAGAGAGTGAGGAGGCTGCGTCTGGCTCCCGCTCTCACAGCCATTGCAGTACATTGAGCTCCATAGAGACAGCGCCGGGGCAAGCGAGAGCCGGACGGGCACTGGGCGACTCTGTGCCTCGCGGACGAAAATCAACTAAACATGGGCAAAGGAGATCCTAAGAAGCCGAGAGGCAAAATGTCCTCGTATGCATTCTTTGTGCAAACCTGCCGGGAGGAACACAAGAAGAAGCACCCGGATGCTTCTGTCAACTTCTCAGAGTTCTCCAAGAAGTGCTCAGAAAGGTGGAAGACCATGTCTGCTAAAGAAAAGGGGAAATTTGAAGACATGGCCAAGGCTGACAAGGCTCGTTATGAAAGAGAAATGAAAACCTACATCCCCCCCAAAGGGGAGACCAAAAAGAAGTTCAAGGACCCCAATGCACCCAAGAGGCCTCCTTCGGCCTTCTTCTTGTTCTGTTCTGAGTATCGCCCCAAAATCAAAGGAGAACACCCTGGCTTATCCATTGGTGATGTTGCAAAGAAACTGGGAGAGATGTGGAACAACACTGCTGCAGATGACAAGCAGCCCTATGAAAAGAAGGCTGCCAAGCTGAAGGAGAAGTACGAAAAGGATATTGCTGCTTACAGAGCTAAAGGAAAACCCGATGCAGCAAAAAAGGGGGTGGTCAAGGCGGAAAAGAGCAAGAAAAAGAAGGAAGAGGAAGATGATGAGGAAGACGAAGAGGATGAAGAGGAGGAGGAAGAAGAGGAAGATGAAGATGAGGAAGAAGATGATGATGATGAATAAGTTGGTTCTAGCGCAGTTTTTTTTCTTGTCTATAAAGCATTTAACCCCCCTGTACACAACTCACTCCTTTTAAAGAAAAAAAATTGAAATGTAAGGCTGTGTAAGATTTGTTTTTAAACTGTACAGTGTCTTTTTTTGTATAGTTAACACACTACCGAATGTGTCTTTAGATAGCCCTGTCCTAGTGGTATTTTCAATAGCCACTAACCTTGCCTGGTACAGTCTGGGGGTTGTAAATTGGCATGGAAATTTAAAGCAGGTTCTTGTTGGTGCACAGCACAAATTAGTTATATATGGGGACGGTAGGTTTTTTTTTGTTTTTGTTTTTGTTTCATCTTCAGTTGTCTCTGATGCAGCTTATACGAAGATAATTGTTGTTCTGTTAACTGAATACCACTCTGTAATTGCAAAAAAAAATTGCAGCTGTTTTGTTGACATTCTGAATGCTTCTAAGTAAATACATTTTTTTTTATTAGTATTGTTGTCCTTTTCATAGGTCTGAAAATTCTCTTCTCAAGGGGAAGCTAGTCTTTTGCTTTTGCCCATTTTGGGTCACACGAATTATTGCAGTGTTTCTTTTCATATAGTTAGCTGGAAGAAGAGCTTTTATTTACACACCCTGCATATTGTGATGGGGGTAATAACATTTTCGTCCATAGTTAATTCCAAAATTGTGATCTGTCGGTTAAGAGATAGTACACAACCCGCGTGCAAAGCTGAGAGTGATCAGTTCTATAATACCATAGGATTATTAGGATCAAACAGTCTGAAGTCTGTCCTTGAAGGACCAATAGAAAAGTATGTTCTAATCCTTACATGAGGACTCTTCTTAGCTTCCATTACTATGTAATGGCAGTTACATTCTGCAGTTCCCTTATTAAAGACCTGAGAATGTATCCCCAAAAGCGTGAGCTTAAAATACAAGACTGCCATATAAGACTCTGTTGACATTAGCCCTAGTGAAGGCTATGATGAAAACTGGCTATAATGCCTTTGCCCATCTATCTAAAACAGGGTTGCTCAGGAAACTTGATTGTTTAAAATTATTTTTAATTAGTTTAGCCAGCTTTTCTTTAAATTATGCCACATTTTAAATTAAAATAAGGGTATATTTTCCTATATTGTAATTTATCCCTTTATTAAATCTGAGACAAGAAAAGACCAAAAAAAAAACATTCACTGGATTCTGAAAGATTATTATATACTATTGTAGTCTCAAGTTTAAGTATGAGAAAATGGACACTAAGAGGTTAAGTGGCATTTGTGTTGTGGTAGGGTACACAAGATAGAGTAGGGAGAAAGAGAAAGAAAGATAGATAGATAAATAGATAGATGATAGATAGATAGATAGATAGATAGATAGATAGATAGATAGACAGACAGACAGACAGATAGATAGATGATAGACAGACAGAGACTTTAGCAGGATATTTTAAGAGTTTGAACTTTGTTGAGTTTAGTCCTTTGGCCAGACCTTGGTACACAGATACTCAATGTTTGAAAGATAAAGGATTGCTGAGTTGAGAAATGCAAAAGCCTTATGCTCTGTTACAAAATAGTTGCATGTATTCCTTCCAGATTGTTATGTTCTTCTTTTGAAATAAAGTTGTGCTGTTACTTTAGGAAAATTCTCAGAATATACAAATTTAGCTGGAGTAAAGCTATGATGAAGATGTGTGATTAAGCCAGAACACAGCACATTACAAATTAAAAGATGCTAAGGTCCTGTGGATGCCAGATGTCATCAGATGTATTTTGTTGAAAGAGATGTTAAATGAACTTCTGAAAGTTTGCAGTATTTGGGACAAAATGCACTGGCCATACTCCAAGATTTCAGGTAATTGAACTAAGATCCTTTAGAGGGAGTAATTAGGCCTAATTTGAACAGGTGAGGTCATGTGAAAGACTTTCTGGTGGAAAATGAAGCTAATTGAGATTAATGACTCTTAAATACATTGTTTCTCTACTTAGCATTTCAAAGCAATACTTCCTGGAGAATAAAATATGTTCCTAGAAATTTATTAGGGAGAAAATCTCTTCAGTCTTTACCTTGCTTTTATTACATAACACTGTTAAATATTTCCAAAGTATAAGCAGCTATGAATGAAAACCTTTAAAAAATGTGTCTGTATGTGTTTGTGGTGTGCCTATGTGTATCCCTACTGGCATACATATGGGACAATATGTGGGTTTATGTGTGTGTGCATGAATATGGGCGAGTGAGTGACTTAGGGTGTCTTATTTGATTGATCTCCATTTTTCCTTTAATAGAACCTTCAAATTTTACGCCTTTGGCCAAACAAGCTTGTCAGCTTGCCCCAGGGAATGCATGTCTCTCAGCCTGGTCTCTTAGGCTTGTCATCAGGCCTACCTGAAAAGCTGTAGCATCCCATGCTCTGGCCTCATCCTTGTGTTGCAAACCCTTCCCCTGAAATGGAAACGTGAAAGTTCAGGAACAATGATTAAGTTTTAAATTTTATATCAATTTCTCCTGGTACCTTTTTCCCTCTAACCTTCTGAAGTTGTTTTTCCCTCTGTTTCAAGATTATTTTCCTCATACGCAGCTCATGAATGCTTTATTCATATTTTTCTACTTTTAAACTGAAGATGTTGTTGCTCTTGAAGCCCTAAGTACTGTTCTGTCAGCAAATGATATCAGCCTAGGGAATTAAGCCAGATCATGTGTTTGAGGACTCAAACCAACACAGGGTTAAATTAAAAAAAAATTCAATCATAACATATGTGCCCGTCTTGTCTGTGAATTGGAACACAGCTTGGCTCTTCTTTTCCATAGTTATTCTTATGTGCTTTTACTAAGTTAAAACATATGGAAAATAAACAGTACGTTTGTTCTGTGCTGCCTTATATTATCTATAGGCACAAGAGGTAACAAACAAATTACATAGCAAATCTATCAAATTATCAATATTCTTTTTAAAAAACTGAGAAAGAAAAGATAATAGTATTGTTGTAACTACAGTGTCTGGGTAAATATGGCTCTTTTGAGAGAGGCTTCTTGTTCGTTCCCAGCTGCCAAGACTTGAAATAACCACATAGAACCTGTATTGATTAAATTACTGCTTAGTCTATTATCTCTAGCTTTTTATTGGCCATCTCTTACATCTTAAATTAATCCAATTCTATTAATTTGTGTATCACCACGTGATTGTTGCTTACTGGTGAGGTTTAGGTATCTGAAACCTGCAGGCGGCTACATGGCTTCTCATTGACTCCACATTCTTTCTCCCAGCATTCAGTTTAGCTTTCCCACCCAACTCTATTCTACCATATTATAGGCCTAAGAAGCTTCTTTATTCATTTACCAATAAGAGCAACACATATACAGAAGGTCCTTCCACACCATTTTCCTTGTTTAAATAAAAAGGAAGGTTTTAACTTTAAAATAGTAAAATTATGTATTAAAAAACAGGTATCAAGCAAAAATTTTAGTTACAATATTTATATCTACTTCATCTACAACTAAGGAAAACTATAACTATCTGTTCTTCAACTCTATCAAAGACTCCAGAGGATATAATATTACTTAAATAAACAGGAAGTGCACTGTAAGCAACTTTCTTTCTATTTTTTGTTTGTTTGTTTTTTCAAGACAGGGTTTCTCTGTAGCTTTGGAGCCTGTCCTGGAACTTACTCTTGTAGACCAGGCTGACCTCGAACACACAGTGATCCTCCTCCCTCTGCCTCTAGAATGCTGGGATTAAAGGTGTCTGCCACCATTGCCTGGCTGTAAGCAACTTTCAAAACTCTAGAATTGACAGAGACATCTCACTGCTTTGACACTCACCCAAAGTTCTTCTGTAATATTGGTGCATTCATATTCAGTCTACAGGCCCATAATATCCAGCAGACTCTTTCATAAAGCAGGAAATTTCAAAGACAGTTCCACCTATATTGTCAGTTTGTCAGTCACTTTCTTCTGTTTCCTGCAGAATGTCTGGCAGACTCTTTCATGAAGCATGAACACTGAAGGATTATCTCACTTTCTTTAGGCAACTTCAGCAGCCATTTATTTTCCTGTGGTCCTGCAAGTCCAGTCAAGCAGTTCAGAAAAGAGTAGCTTCTTGCCCAAATGACTAGCAAACTCCATGAGGAAACTCTTTGATGTCCATCAGCTTTTGGAAGTAGATTAGTGATGCCAAGAACAGATGGGTCTCATTGCCATGAAAAGTCCTAACTTCTTAAAACATTTTAAATGCCATATTATTTTAATGTTTGAAAAGTTTAAAGAATAACTATCCATCTGAAATATATTGCTGTACATCTAGAACACAACTCCTTAATCAAGAGCAGAAATATACATGCAAAAAATTGATCTAAAATTTGTATCAATAAAACAAAATCCATACTATTTCAAAGTATTCATCTCTATTGCATATCTGCTTTTAAATGTAAACAAACATTTATAAAAAATATTTGGGAATTTGGGCATAGTTCTCTCCAAACTGCTTCTTGCTTTTTGTTAGGTGAAGTAATTTTTGAGGGTGTTGATAGCAACCTTTCAGGTAGACTTGGTCCATCAAACCACATTAGTCTAAAAGGAATGAACAGGTTCTCATCCTCTGTGGAAAAAAGAAAAATGTCTTTTCTAATGCAACAAATCCTTAGACTCAAATTTTGAAGTCAAGATAACTTTAAAATGTATATGTTAGTTTAGCTTAGCAGCCCATCCAATGAAATGTCTCTTCGTACTTATTTTCTTCATAGTCAAGAAATTCAAAGAAAACACATTGATATACATAATCCAGACTCTCTGTGTATATTACATCTTTGTGTGGCTTATTTTTTTCTTCTTTAGTCTATGACTGTGTTCTGTGTCTCTTTAAAGACCTTGTTTTATTTTTTAAAACTATTTCCATTTATAACTGTATATACTCTTTTTCTTCTTTCTCTCAAGCCTACAGACATTTTTCTTTAATCACACTGTGACTCATTCAGATGTCTAAATTCAGATTTCTGTCTAAAACTGTCTTTATTGCATATCTGTAAATATTTTCTGATCAGGAGCGCACATTTTTAATAATGCTAAAGGTCTGTGACTATAACTAAGGTCGCTTTGCCTTTTGCTTCCACCCAGTATGACATGGCAGAGTCATGTTCACCGCCTCTGTGCTCCATGAACACCACTCCAGTTCCAAATATGCAGCAGGTCTATGTTGTGCTATTAAACAGTTGTAAAATGTTGCACACAAACCACATTTAAATGCTCTATCTCCTGAAGGAGACATAGCTATTTATGCACTCAACAAAAATGAAGAAACCTTCTTAAAGTTACCATGTGGGTTTTGTTGCCAATGCTGAGTCAGGAGACCTATCTTAAACTAGCAGTCAGCAGAGTCCATCCAGAAAAGAAACACCCAAAAAATTGCAGGCTACCAAGACACCATGCTTAACCCTGTTCTTTTGTGCTTAGAATTCCTTTCCAAGCTCTCTCAGTTTTTACCTGGCACATGTTGGCATGCCAGTCTGTTGGTGGAAATTTCTGTCCTATTCAGTCTCACAATAAACCCACAGTAACTGTATTATCTGCAATACTGTTTGGCTAATAGCTTAAGCATATTGCTATCTAGCTCTTATATCCGAAACTAACCCATTGCCGTTAATCTGTGCATCACCACAATGCCATGGCCTACCAGCAAAATTTTAGTGGGCTTCAGCATTTCCTGCATGTGGGTATATATAGTTTCTCATTGCATCCTCCGGAATATTAACCTTCATCAGGCGATGAAAGTAGACAGAGACAGAGACCCACACTGGAGCACCGGACTGAAATCTCAAGGTCCAAATCAGAGCAGAAGGAGAGATAGCACGAGCAAGGAACTCAGGACCGCGAGGGGTGCACCCATACACCGAGACAATGGGGATGTTCTATCGGGAACTCACCAAGGCCAGCTGGCCTGGGTCTGAAAAAGCCTGGGTTAAAACCGGTCTCGCTGAACATAGCGGACAATGAGGACTACTGAGACCTCAAGAACAATGGCAATGGGTTTTTGATCCTACTGTACCTATTGGTTTCGGAGGAGCCTAGGCAGTTTCGTGGATGCTCACCTTACTAGACCTGGATGGAGGTGGGTGGCCCTTGGACTTCCCACAGGGCAGGGAACCCTGATTGCTCTTTTGGCTGACGAGGGAG